GAGCAAGTACAGCAGGGATCTACCAGTCGTCAGTAGAAATTATCCTCGTTTCGGCCCACGATTCCTAGACGCATTCGGAGGTGGGCCCTCCTGAGTTCATAAAGCTCAGGGCTGGTTCCCCGCTGCACGGAATTACCGGATAGTGTTATTCTTTCGGCCAGAGACAAGACGACATGGCCTGGCAGATCAACCGCCAGTAACCAGTCCCTCGCAGAGTCTAGAACAGATGGAGCGAATGCGTTTTGGTTGACCTTCCCTTTTGGAACCTGCCCAGCCTTGAGGAAACGAATGGGGACGATGCTAGAACTGGCTCTGGCGTTGGCCCTCATTCTAGCCTGGTCGACAACAGCTGCTAAAACTTTTAGCACCTTGTTGTGGCGCCAGGTATATCGGCCTTGACCTAGAGCTTTCCTGCACGCGGACAGGACGTGCTCAAGAGTTTGCTTCGATTTGCACAACGGGCAAGTCGGATCGTTGGTCGCAGACCATTTAACCATGTTAACACCGGACGGTAATACATCGTACGCCGAACGAACGATAAAGCTCAGTCGCAGCGGGGTCATCCGCCAGAGTGAGTATTCTTGGCAATGCGCTCTCCAGGCTGACACAATGGCCCTGCTGCGACTGCTGGGCTGCTTTCTGGACCCGAACCTTGTTTTCGTTGTCCCTCACCGTTTGTATTACCATGTCTCGGCGCTCTTTGGCTGAGGCCTTTGACCACCAATTGACCTTCCCGTGATCTAGGCCTTGACGGTCGGTTTGTGTGTAACCCATTATCTCTCTCAATTTTAGTGCATTCTGGGCAGATTCTATCGCATCGAGGACTCTCCACTTCCGGCCAGTCTTTAGAGCGTGCTGGACAGCGATGACATTTGGGTCTGAAGACTCGCGTAAGAGCATGGCGAGCCTTACCTTGCAGACTTTAAACTCTTCGGTTATTGATTTGAACGGAAGTACCAGCTTAGCCTGTTTGCAATACAGAGCCACGTCGGTCAGACAAGGCGGTGCACCAATCCACTTTCTCAAGGCTGTGTTGATTTTCTTCTCCATGGTTTCCACTGCAGTCATCGTCACCTCGTAGACTAGTAGTGGCCATAGGAGCTTCGGAATCAATATGAATTGGAGACACCATACCTTGAATTTCCCGACCAGCCTGCATCGCTCGATCGCGAGCAGGCCTGTAGCCAGTGACTCGTGTATTCGCCGGACTTCCGCTCTGTCAGATAACTTCGAATCGTAAACGCGACCAAGGCTCTTCACCGGTTCCTCCAGAACCGTGGGGATCTTGTTCCTTGCCACCGTAAAACTGGTTGCCACCACCCGACCCTTATTGATTGACAGACTCCTCGACTTCTGCGGTTTGAACTGCATACCGCTCGATTGGACCACCGCGTCCAATCTTTCCAGGATCGTGCGGGCAGACTCCTCGCTGCCCGTTATAATAGTCGTGTCATCCATAAAGGCACGTAATGGTGGCATCCAGTGGTCTCCAATTTGAAGGCCCTGTCCGTAATCGGCCGCCCCGTCAAACATGATCTGCAATGCCATGACAAACAGTATGGGTGAGATCGTACAGCCCATAGCTATCCCAATCTGCAACTCAGTCCACCTCGTGGTAAACGTCGAGGTAGAGAAGCGCAAAGCAAACTTAGAGAAATATTGCTCGATCATTTGATTGATCTGTGTCGGTACGTGAAACATGCGAAGGGCTCGCCAGAGTAGCCTATGGGGGACTGCCCCGTAGGCGTTGGCTAAGTCTAACCATATTACGTGCAACTGTGTTCTCTCATGCTTGGCTCTCTGGATAGCCTCCCAAATCATGGTCGCGTGTTCAAGGCACCCAGGAACGCCTGGGATACCACCCTTCTGAACACTCGTATCTATGTACTTGTTAGTCATCAGATACTGTGTGAGCCGGCGAGCCATGACCGAGAAGAATATCTTACCCTCGACATTCAACAGCGAGATGGGCCTGAATTGGGAAAGACTCTTCGAGTTCTGCTCTTTGGGAATGTAGACCCCATTTGCCTTTGACCACTCTGGACATATGTGGTTGCGGATCCACGCTTGTCTCAACAAGACGTGAAGCATTTTAAGGATTTTCAGGCAACGCTTGTAAAGAACGTACGGGACACCGTTCTGACCTGGGGCAGACTTGCCGCTGGCCTTTTTCACAACTTCCTCAACCTCAGACCAAAGGGGAGGTACCATTTTAAATGGTACCTTCGGCACCGAAGGCTGTTTAAGGCCGCTAAGGATCTCTGGATTGTCATCGAGAGGCTCACTCCTCTTTTTGTCAGAGTACATCTTGCGTAGATGTAGCTCTAGTTCTTCCTGACTGACAACCAGAGTCCCAGACTTCGGTTGCTCGAATAGACCTCGAGCAAATTGATACGGGTCCCTAAAGAATTTCTCTCGCTCCCTTTTGGTTCTACGTCTGTTGTTACAGAAACGCTCGGCGCGACAGAGGGCACTGTGTTTGTTCTTTAAATGCAACCAAACTTCATACAGCCCCTCCCGTTCGCTGCCTGTAGCGGCTTTGAACCGTTTTCTGAGGGCATTCTTGTCTGCCCGACACTTCAGAATGTCCCTCTGCCTCCTGCTAGTATTCTGCTTGGCACCCGGCTGTGCCTTTACTACTGTCCCGAACTCACGGGAGCAGTGTTCATATATTACATCACCAAATTTTGTAAGCTTGTCGCCTAGCGACTTCTTGTTTAGAGTTTGTTTAAGTACCTCACATAATGTAGCCTCCAACTTACACCACACCACCTTCTCGCTCGCAGGTGGAAACCTGATTCTGGAACGCACTTCTTCAGAAATCATTAAATGTGCTCCTCCGCATTCGACGTCATGGGCCTCTCCGGGCGAGTGGGGTTCACCCTGCCCGTCGTACCCTGACGACTCAGAAACTACCACAGGAGTAGTAGTTTTGCGAGGGCGTTTACTGCGTGGAGCACCCTCGCATTTCATTCTTCCGGCATGCGTTCTCAGACCATGCAACCCCGTGAAGCTTTTCCCACATGTACAGAGCCAGCCCGGACGTTGGGCGAGTATCTGAGTCCGGGGGCTAGCAAAGTCGTCACCGAGAGGATCTATTGGATTGGGCCCTTCATTCTCCCCCCCCCCCTTTTCGGAGGGCCCTGGGGGCATATTTCTTTGTGGTTGTTCGAAATCGGAGGTATTATACTGTGTTAGGGGTGATCAACCCGGTCCACAGTCGACATCTGTCTCCAGATGTCAGTTTATCCCCCCGGTATCGCCGGGGGGCCAGTCTTTTCATGGGTGTCAAAAGGTCTACCCGATAGTCACCAGTCTTTCCTGGTAGTCTTGTGGGCTAGCCACGTACAATAGGAATAAACTCACAGGGAGCAAGTACAGCATGGATCTACCAGTCAGTAGAAATTATCCTCGTCGACACGCGTTTCGGCCCACGATTCATAGACGCATTCGGAGGTGGGCCCTCCTGAGTTCATGAAGCTCAGGGCTGTTTCCCCGCTGCATGGAATTACCGGATGGTGTTATTCTTTCGGCCAGAGACAAGACGACTTGGTGGTTTCGCAGAAGGTACTGTGAGATAAGAAGTCGCCACGGCAGCCTAATTAAAGCAGTCAGCATTCCTGGACGACCGAGCGACACGCTTACTTTGGTTTACCGGACACATGTTGGACTTTTATTAGCAGTTGGCAGAGGAACACTGACAGACAATTCGGACACGATGGACTTTCAAAGGGGTGAGAAACCCTTTTCCACTAGACACCCGGACCAGCTCACCGAGGCCCGTCCCCTACGTTGTTGCGTTGCGTCCAAAGCCAGCTAGAGGCCCTTTCGGCTGCCTCTCCCAGTTTTTTTGAGTGTTCGTTTCCGTTCATTACCGCGCAATCCTAATTCTTTCACCACATTGTAGAGCGAAGTGGAGACGAGGCCTCTCGCTCCCACTTCGACGGCAAATACCCGTACTGTGTAAGCCTCGTTTCTCCTCAGACCGGCTGCTAAATCACTGTACTTCTCTTTACCCGATCTCGAAAATTTAGGCTGGCGGCTTTTTTAAGGCATCCGATCTCTCATGGGCTTTAGATAGTTTCTGTGTTTGGCACTGGTAGCTTCATATTGGAATCAATATGCTCTTTATAATCTATACTCATATTTATGTTTGGCTGTCCTAATAAACATATTATCCTTCCTTAAATCGGCGTTAGGTCACCATTCGCTGTTGACTACTTGTTCAATTTATTCCACCTCTTTCGGTCCGATGCGGTGGATTTGATATGTGTATATTTGAAGCCCATCCAATCAGCTAAAAGATTTGCCTATGTCTTTATTGGTCTTCATCTTCTCATCTTTCTCTCATGAAAGCCCTATTGTGTCGTTTAGGAGAGGCCGATGTATATGTTTACACAGTTATACACTTGAATTACTCACCTATCTCTTCTCTTGTTGCAATAAGCAGATGATTTAAATGGCGACTGTGAACTGGCATCAAAAGGCTAATTACAACTACTTCAGCTCTAAAGAGGTTTTGTCAAACATGAACACTATACAGTTAGCCACAAGGAATAGTGCAACACAGAACTGGTGTTGTAAGTCACTAAACGTTAAGGAATAAACAAAAGATGTGAATGTGATATTTTGAATGTTTAATTAGTAATCGACATCACAGCAATCGGGACACCACCATAAGCGCTCCGTCACCATCTTCAGCAGCGAGCGAAGAGTTAAAATTCCAATGGTACCAATAACTGTCTGATTGTATACCCGTCTCGCCTTTCCCCTGAGTATCGAGCGTTTCCAATCCCCTTGTAACTCCTCACATGCCATTCTCCTCAGACCGTAATGATCTATCCGTGTCTCGGCACTGTTCTCTCGCTCCCAAAGGGCACTAAAGATGGGGTCCAATCGCTTATGGACTTGTCATTTGTGTAGTGAGGATGATCGGTCGATCAACTAACCTAACTCTCTTACTGTATGGGTTTTCACTACACTGTTTGCTCTCTCTACAGATCGATATTCTGATCAACAATGCGGGAAAGAGCCAGCGGTCGCCGTGGGTGGATGTGGAGCTGTGTGTGGACCGGGAACTGTTTGAGATTAACGTTCTGGGTTCTGTATCACTGACCCAGCATGTACTGCCTCATATGATGGAGCGAAAGCAGGGCCACATTGTCGTCATGAGTAGCATTGCTGGGTTAATTGGTGAGTATATGATACCATCTTCCGGTGACGGCATAAAGTGGTGGCTTAGACAGGTTTACCACCCCCCCCCCCCCCCCCCCAATCACCCCTTCCCCTTAGTTTACTTTAAAAAAAACATGTGCACAAGCTGTTAAGTTCCCCTTTATACACTGACATTATCCTTTTAATTATGCGTGGGTCCTTATCATGTGTCGTCCTGTTAAGCGTAGGATATCATTATATAAGGTAATTTTACGTGATTACCAGAATCACGAATCAGGTCAGTGTGTATGTTGCGTCCGCACCATATGGCCAAGCCATCTAGGTAGTTATCTCTTTACCTTCCTCTTGCTCTCTTTTCATTAGTCTTGCTAGTTACCCAGTTCTTAACTCCATTCCTTCTCATAATATGTTTTTAATTATTCTTATAAACTTAAGACTTTCATTTGTCTCAAAAAGGTTTGCTGCTTTTTTTAGGAGGGGGGAGGGGGTGGGGGCGTCGTGTTGCAGGCACATCCGTGTTGCAGGCACATCCGTGATGTAGATATGGCTTACTTGTATGTAGACTTGTGGCTCCTCAAAGTTTTTTTTTTTTTTTTTTTGCATAAAACAGTGCGGTACCCACCTCTAACTGTCTTGGAAAAGTACACTCTGAAGAAAACCCCCATAATTAATGGCATCTACGACATGCTTGGGACCGGCAATGAGTCTGTTCTTTTCCCTTCAGAGTCGGACCTGGAGCCCTGACTGCGAATTGCTCATGTCAGAGGAGACAAAGTCTGATATATAAAATAGCATGTGCTGATTCATTAAAACAAACACAGACTAAACACGATTCAGTACACCATGTGGAAGGTATAAGCGCCAAGGTGGCACAGTGGTGAAACGTTTATCGCCGTCTCCAAGGATTTTTGGTTTGAATCGGCATCCATGATTTTTATAAGTGAAACATGTATAGCGATGAGTGAAAGATGTTTTGGAAACGGCTGAGATATGGTTTTACATACGTACGATGAGAATACATTAGACAGATTAAAAAAAAAAAAAAAAATAGGATGTCTAGAAAAAAAGCTGGCTCGCAAAGAGAAATGACTACCCTCATTAAAGGGAAACAAGTGTATATTCTTTGATCATGTCATGTTTGAGGAGAAGAGAGGCAGATGGAGACCGAGAGAGAAGATGCTAAACAATTTGAAATCATGGCTAAGAAGATCAATGTGTCAGAAGTAATTGCAAGTATACGAGGTAAAAGTTTGTGGTCAGACATGACCACTAGAGCCACATCCCATGGACTATATAAAAAATATGAGCTGCTATGACTATTTCAGAAAATGAAATGAGAAGTAAAGACACACGGGGCCATGTTGACAGCGTTGCCTCTCCCCCCCCCCCTCCCTTTTCCACCGCCCATGTGTTAATTAGTTTTTAGAATATAAGAACCAGTACTGTATGCTAGATGCAAACTGAACTTCAACTATTTTACTTATACCGAAACGGCGTCTTAACCTTAACTAACATCGTTATACTCTTTTCAGGAGCCCCACATTCAAGATCTTACACAGGAGCAAAACATGCTCTTCACGTAAGTAACTATTGTAATTGTTAGTGTTACCTCCCGAACAAAAATGGGGGCTGGTGGTCTCGAGGCATGGTGTCCGCCTCGAGTGCTAGAGGTTCCGGGTTCAATCCCTGGTAAGACTAGGATTTTGTTCACGTCGACTTCAACTTTTAGTAATTACCCATAGTCACTGGGTAGTGAGATCAGACGCCCGTGTGCATTGTTGCGCATGTAAAAAAAAAATCCCTAGGCAGTTGGAAATCGAAAAGAGTAGCTTAACGGCGCTGCACGTTCAAAATGTTGAGTTAAAAATCTTCCTAAAGTATTTTACGATCCTCGCCGGTGCTACAGAGCACGTGCAATACGCTGAGCTTCCTCAGAATTCAGAATTGAGTTAGAAGAAGAACGGAGCACTTATTGGTTACTACCCGTGTGCCATGTTGTTATCTGTTGTTCAAACATCAAACCTCAAACCGATCAAAGGTCTGACAGTAAGAAATCTAATATCTTCAGTGTCATTATATCTTATAAGCAAACTGACATGCATGAGAAAGAAGGACATGCTTAACAACATACACATCGATTGCTAAGGTTACCAAACTAGGGGGCGCTAACATTTCCTAACGACAACAATGCCTGGCTGCAAAAACATGTGCTCTTGGACGTTTGAGCAGCTTGACACCGCTAAAATAGGTGCCATCATTAGCCAGGTCTGTAAAACAGCTTAGTCAACAATTCCGGAATACTGGCAGAACTCATTTCAAATAGCAGCATGGTTTAGAGAAATTTACATTAACCAAGTAAAAGTCAAATAAAAAACACAACGTATACGAACACAACAGACCCTGAACATCAACATGAATAAAAGTAAAACATTTGATTGGTCGGTTTCACGGTGGTGTACATTCAATGATAAAGACGTTTGTAGAAAGATTAGTTTGATGTCCGTAGTTCATTTAAAAGGTCGACAAACTTGCATTTTTTTTTTTGGGGGGGGGGGGGGGGGGGGGGGGGAATGGGAGAGATCACTTCAAGTTATAGCTCGACAATTCTCATTTTTTTTAAATTACATTCCTGCATCAGATGGCTTCACAGAATATTCAATGCAGCATGGGTACAACAAATGGCCCCTATTGATTGGCAACATGCAATAGTTATACCATTGTGGAAGAACAAAGGAGGCAAACGAGAATGCGGTCAATATCGAGGTATCTCTCTTTTAAGCCATGTTGGCAAAATTTATGCCAAGATAATAGAAACAAGACTGAGACCAGTGATAGAACCACAGCTGGCAGAAGAACAGATGGGATTTAGGAGAAATAGAAGCTGCACAGATGCAATCTTCACACTTAAACAGTTAATAGAAAAGAACATTGAATACAATAAGAACTTATTTGTGGCATTCGTAGACCAGGAGAAGGCATTTGACAGAGTCGACAGACAATTACTATGGAAAATAATGGCAAGATATGAAGTTAGCGAACACCTCATCGAAGTGTGCAAAAGTTTATACAGGGATTGTAGAAGTGTAGTTAGAATAAATCAGGGAACATCTCATCCTTTCACAGTGACATCTGGAGTAAGACAGGGGTGTGTCTCATCACCACTGCTGTTTATCACCTACATCGACAGTATATGCAAGAATGCCAAGCCCAGGAATGAAGATCTTAGTAAGATCAACGAATTACTCTTTGCAGATGACCAGGCCTTGATAGCAGATACAGCCATGAAATTGCAACAACATCTAACATCCATGAATGAAGAATGTAAAACAAATAATATGAGAATCAACACTAAAAAGACAGAAGTAATGTCAATAGGAAAAAAGAAGACAGATCTAAACATAGCAATAGAATACAAAGACATTAAACAGGCATCTGAGTTTAAATATCTGGGAACTACATTTACCGAAGATGGGAAATTGGATAAAGAAATTGACATTAGATGCAGTAAACCAAACCAAGTATTGGGACAGACTCTGTGCTACCAGTGCCAGACATGGTCACTCACAACAAACCATAAAAAAAAATTAGTAACCACGGAAATGAGATGTCTGAGAAGGGCTGTAGGAGTGACCATAAGAGATAAGATCAGGAATGAGATCATAAGAGAACAAGTCGGCACAGAACCAATTCTGGATTACATACAAAGACAGCAAGTGAAATGGTTTGCCCACTTAGAGAGAATGCCTTGTGACACCATACCATACAAAGCATACATGGAAAGAGAAGAAGGACGTAGAGCACGGGGTAGACCAAGAACAAGATGGAAAGATAACATCAGAGAAACTCTACAACAGCACGATGTGCCTATGGTCGAGGCAGCCAGAAGAGCTAGAAACAGAACCTTATATCTCCCTCGACACCCACAGCGGTAAAAGAGGAAGTGAAGAAGAAAAATTACATTCCTTCCTTTCAGTCTAATTACTAATGACACCAACGAAATATTGTCTTATCCTCCTCTTTGTCCTTGTTCTTTCTCCCGCTATCCTCCAGTGGAGCATATACCCTGTAAAAGCTGTCGCATGAAGAACAACTAAAAAGACAAATACTTGTTCTAAAAAAGCATTTCCTCATAAATGTATAATTATTATTTTGTTTGTGGGTAATAATCAGAGATATAAAAATACTGAGAAGGATATATGTATGTAATCAGAAGATAAAAATTGAAAGTAGGGTTTGAGTGAAATCTTTGAGTTTCTTTACTCCACATCGGATTACCGTAAACGGGTGAAAAACAGAAGAGGATGAAATGTGAAGGGTAAATTGGAGACAAATAATGAGATAGGGAAGAGAAAAGAAGGACGAGAAGGATGAGGAAGTGGACGAGGATGGTGGGTCAAAGGACAAAGAAGAAGACAAGAAGACGACATTAACAAATACGAAGAAAACGGTGACAAAGATGGGGGGGGGGGGGGGGGGGAAACGATCGCAAAGACAAAGATATATATTCCCCTCTAGGTATTGACATATAGACATAAGATTTATAGATGGCGTTTCTCAATTGGATTCACCTCAGCTGCAAGCGATTTGACAACAGACAACTTTTCTTTGAATTTTTAAGAGATATGAGACATTCTGTACAGATTAGGATTGTAATATTTTTCCCAAAAGAAAACGAAAACCTCGCATCTTGCCTAGGATTCGAAACCAAGTTCTTCCGCATGACAGCGCAGCCTTCTTTACCGTTCTGGTTAATGACAAACTATGGAACATAAGACTGAATTGTATTGAGCATATTTATAGATTATATTTTAGAGATCAATTTAAACTTTGCTTGTGATGTGGTCAACATCACGCCGGTTGCCTTTACTTCGCATAGCCTTACCTGATACTCATTAAAGTCTAGGCAAACCTGTGAACAAATGTCATTTTTGCTAAAACAATACAATTTCGCTCTATTCAAATGTGGATCTTTTTGTAAAACTCAATTAGTCTACTCAAATTGCGATTTCTGCACTTAATGTCATCTCTGAACAAAAGGTTTCGAAGCTGATATGCATTTTTTTTTTTCTGTGACAGGGATATTTTGACTGCTTGCGGACTGAGATGATTGAGCACAAGATCGATGTGACCATCCTTTGTCCGGGTCCCGTGCACAGCAATCTTTTCATTGAAGCAGCCACTGGGAAAAAAGGCGAGGTTTGTCAAATTACTGATTCCTAGAACAAGACTCATAAACTCAAGCGTTCATTAACTGGGGCCTGAGCAGAACAGAATGGAGGAAATTAAATGGTATGATAGAATCACAAATGTAAATGGGAGACAACTAAACAAGTTCCAACGGACCAAGAGGTGAAGAGAAGACGCTGGCGTTGGACAGGACATGAAAAACTGATAAGAATATAACTAGAATGTCTTTGCACTGGCACCAACAAGGTCATAGAAATAACGGAAGACCAAAAAAAATACATACAAAGGGAAGCAAGAGAGTGAACTTTAAAAGATGCGTGAGGGGGGGGGGGGGGTGTTAGTTGAAAAAAAAAAGTAAAGATCCCTTTTCACGTGTTTCGGCGCATCGGGCATATGGGAAGAGCACCCATATTTTTACAGACCAATCGGCACACGGTGGTTAATGTGGTCAGCATTACGCCGGCCGTCTTTACTTCCCCAGGACAGCCATCGTGGTACCCATTTGAGGCTGGGTGGACCTGCGACGTCTCATTCCACGATAAAAATCCACGCAGACCGCAGTGGGTTTCATTCGCGGTACGTTGGATTACGAGTCGGACTCGCAACGCCTTAGCCACGGACGCCGCGGGGGTGGGAGGGAAGGTTTGGGGGTGGGGGGGGGGGGAGAGGAGATATGCATGCAAAAGCGAAGGATAGAACGAAACGTAAGCTGGTTGGGGGGCCTATGCTCCGCTGGTAGTTAGAAAGGCATATAGAGAGATAACAAGACTTATTTATTATCCTCATCGTTATCTTAATTCAGAGATGTGTTAAGGTAAGAAATGCCATCGTAGCACTCATGATTTTCCCATAATCAATCCCTCCCCGTCTTCAGCAGCCAGCGTAGAGACCAAGTTTGGTACGACTAGCTTGTCCACTCTACTGTTCCCTGTGTGGAAAGTCCCCACGTCACTCCTCATTGAAACATTCTCATCAGTCCACAATGATCAACTGTTCCTCTACACTGTACTCTCACTTTCAAGTAGCCTTGATCTATCTTCGGTACGGTACTAGTAAGCTAAAAAGAGTTGCTAGTGGACGTACATGATTATGTGACAAATGTGAATACAGAGCATATGCACTCCAGCACTACAAGGATTTAAATTGATTTACTGTTCGAGACACTTAAGTGTGACGAACAGGCCGATTTCTTCTCAAATGCGTGTGTAGAAAAGTTAGACACTCTGAAGTGTGTGTGTGTGTAAATTTATATGTATATATATATATGTGTGTGTGTATGTGTGTGTGTCTGTCTGTGTGTGTGTGCTTGTGTGTATGTGTGTGTGTGTGTGTGTGTGTGTGTGTAAACGAAACCTGATGGAAGCTGCAATGTCAGATGAAACTTTTGCCATAGCTCTGAACTCTTTCAGTATCAAACACCCCCATCGTAGCTTGTTTCTTGGTCATTTCCATTTTACCATATATACACGCCTCATATGAACGGTATGTTTCTGAATTTGTTGTGTACCCTCTTTGAACTCCATTTTTTTTTAAATTAACAAATTAGGGATTGAACAATCAGCGGGTGGTACTGTTACAGTTAAAAGGACGGTTGGCACGTTGTCTTGTAGTTAAGAACTATATAAAAAATATAGTCTACATCTGCACCTGTCTCCTCAACATATCCCTCCCAGCCATTAGCTGTCATCTATAACGTGACTGTTAACGGCAGTGGTTATAGTCTGCTGGCCTTAAAAAAAGTCTTCTACCCTCAAACGGGCAGGGGGTGGGGGGAGGGTGGGGGGAGATAATACAAACATGAACATCTGATGTTAAGTGAATTTGGAGTTTAGTGTGAATCCGCCAAGAATGGACAGAGCGATTGAAAACAAAATGTTTATAATAAGTGTATTACTGGCAAATCTGCACAGGCCACTGTCTAAAGACAGTTACTAATGAGACATCCTATCTGTTAGTGAGCTATGTATGCTGCGATGTCGATTGTCTTCTTCTTCTTCTTCTTCTTCTTCTTCTTCTTCTTCTTCTTCTTCTTCTTCTTCTTCTTCTTCTTCTCTCTTCTTCTTCTTCTTCTTCTTCTTCTTCTTCTTCTTCTTCTTCTTCTTCTTCTTCTTCTTCTTCTTCTTCTTCTTCTTCTTCTTCTTCTACTACTACTTTTTCTTCCTTTTTCAAATTCTTTTTCTTCTTCTTCTTCTTCTTCTTCTTCTTCTTCTTCTTCTTCTTCTTCTTCTTCTTCTTCTTCTTCTTCTTCTTCTTCTTCTTCTTCTTCTTCTTCTTCTTCTTCTTTTTTTTTTATGTTCAACAGCTGTAAAGTTTAGTGGAAAGTTTTGGTTGTTTATTCACTTTTGGACTGCAGTTCTGTTCCAGAACCTGAGTGTTGCGTGTGCATCCGTTTTACAGATCTGAGTCATTTATGTGCAGATTGCTGGTTCGTTGCCTTTCAAGCAGATGCACTGCGAATTTGAAGGAAGTTCCCAATTATTTGACTCTTACGACATGATTTTGGTTAGGCAGTGGGTCTTTTCTTGTTTTCACTATAATGGATCCTTGGAACCCATACGGAGACCTGTGGATTGTGATTTTAGTATTCAACTACATCTACGTCATACCTTCATTTCTTTATTTTTTTTTTTTTTTTATTCAGATGATGGGCAAAGCAGACAATCTAAAGGACAAGAAAATGATGACTGATCGCTGTGCATACCTGTCATGTGTTGCCATTGCTAATAAACAGTTTGAAGCATGGATAACCGAGCACCCATTTCTCGGCATTTGCTACATGAATCAGTACTCTCCCTTACTGAGCTTTTTGTAAGTTCCGTTAATCTTCGTCTTCTGCATTGACCGAAAAGCGGTTAGCGTGTTATAATTTACAACTGGGGTGCAATGTTTGCGTATTTTAGTTCAATACCTCCAAATTACTCAACTTGAATTATTTGCCTTTTACGACATGCTTGATATATTCATTGGATCTGTTATTAATATTTTCTGCAGACCGATTTGAATTTTCACTATCGATCAGATTTATCTACAATCATTCGTTTTGGAATGTAAGGAATATTAAAGAAGAGTATAATTTAAAAGAATCTCTAAGAATACATGGCTATGCAGATGGCTTTGATATCGTTGAGAGAATGAACCATAGACGGTAGAAACACTGATTGTCTTAAAGGAAGCAGCTGACAAAATGGAACTAATTAGTTATCAATCAAGATAAAACATAATATATGATCATAACAAGACAGGGAATAGATCTAAACTCTTGTCACATACAAATCACTACTATGAAATCAAACGTACATAAATATATAAATTCTTTGGTCCAAACTTCGACTGCTCCAACGTCCTGAGAGAAGAAATGCAGTCTAGAATACAATTTGGAAATAAACTATGTCATTCTAAAGTCAAAGTCTCTATCTGGCGACACCAAGATCAAAATATGTAAAACGTTGATGTGATCAATTATATGGCTTTAAAACTTGAAGCACAAAGAGATTAAGCCTTTTTACAGATTGTCGAAAATAGAGTTTTAACATGAACTTTGGACCTATCAAAAATGCAAACAGCGGGGAATGGGGAGTAAGCAGCAAACCCCTCCCCCCTCCCCCAAATCCCCCAAATGCATAATTTGTTTAAATCACCACTTATTACTGTCATCATGAAGGCTAAAATACTAAAATGGCTTGGGCATATTAAGAGAATGCCAGTTGACAGAGAGGTAAAAATTAATTCACATGTGACCTGTATGGTCGCAGATCAAGAGGCAGACCAAGAAGACGATGGAGAGATAATATCCAGACAGACCTACACATACTTGGCGTTACCGACTGGAGAGAGAAGGCCATGAAGCGAGATAAATGGAGGCGAATAATGTCTGCAGCAAGGAACCTCAAGAGCTGAAGAAGAAGAAGAATTCTTTAGATTTGTCAAATAATGTCCATAAACTGCCATTTGTTTAGCTCTTTCAGCTATCAACTATTATCAACAAACTGCTCTTCCATTCTTGTTGACTGGCAGATAGTCTTTGAAACATTTCCTCTATTTTGTCACATGTTTTCTTTATTACTGAAATGTTTAGAAGTCTGTAAGAAAACCACATTTATATCGTCATCATCATATGCCTTGCCGACTGGCGTGGGCGATCATGTCTCTCCATAATCTGCGATCTCCCGCAGAATGTATCAGTTCGTGTGTCAACACACCTCCATGCCATGCAACAAGACTGTCAAGCATCTTCTCTCGTTGTCTTCTTTATATAGCTTCTAAATTAACTTTTCTTTGTATTCACGGTACAACCATCTATGCTTCAGTCTCCTAAGGCTTCCGAGAACCGGAGAGAGAGAGAGAGAGAGAGAGAGAGAGAGAGAGAGAGAGAGAGAGAGAGAAGAGAGAGAGAGAGAGAGAGAGAGCGAGAGAGAGAGAGAGAGAGAGAGAATATGTAAATGTGTTTGTGTGTCTCTTCATGCACTCGACAGAATCAACGATCTAATAAATGATTCTCGATAGTTCCTCCAAGCTCCCAACAACTTCTTTTCATTTACTTATTTTTACCAATTTTTTTCTGCAGATTTCTGAAAATTGTAGGTGTCAAGAGGCTGATGAAAATGAGGGAGGGCCAGTGAAACGATCCATGCAATTTTAAATGCTGTTCTTCTGAGATGTAGATGTTTGTTTATTTGTTTATCTGTTTATTCGTTTTTGCATTTAATTACATAACAGATAAATACTTGCATGCTGTTTACCCTGCACTGCTGTCAGTGCAATTAAACGAATGTTTGTGCATTTAATTACTCTTGTTGATTGTTGTCAGGTTGAGTGTCTGAGAAAAAGAGCATACTGAATAAATGTTATGCTGACAACTTTCCTGAAATCCCCAACTCTAATTGTGGAAGACTTGATAACGCCGTCAGGTCTTGCCATGTGCTGCGTTTCCCATACCTGCTTGTAAAATGGAAACATAAAAAAAAAAGTAAAAAGTACCTATTCACGCTTGCAGGTGTATTGGGCGTATTCGCTTACCTTTTCTATGTTTAAAAAAAAACTTAACTTGTTTAACTGATATTGGCAGCGCAAAATAGCCACCTGTCTCTGGTTATATTCCTGGTCTGATTGATTTGTGCCACTTTCGTATCTACAATTGAGGTATGTGCGCCAGCTTTATGCCTTGATAGTCTTTTTTCTCAGAACCAGACTGCTCCTTCTACTCTCACCACGTTCTATTCTTTCTATTTTTATTTGTTAGCCATCCTTTGTTTGGTTCCTTATCTTGTTCATTTGCATTCGGCATAGAGTGCTAGATCCATCTTTTATAGACCAATCGGCACTCGGTCGGTGATGTGGTCAGCATCACACTAGCCGCTTTTTCTTCCTACGTCTATACCTGAGAACACGTTACATTAGTCTGCCCCCGCCCCGCCAATGTACACACTAGCTCACTTTTGATTGGTAGTTCCTGAATCTGTCACCTTGGCACAAGGTTACGGGGGTGTTCCGCAATACCGTTGATATCGCATCTTGTATATTTCAGCACGCCAGAGTTTTTAAACACTCCAAAATCATGGAGAAACTGGCCCTAACACGAACACCCTAGAAAGTGCTGTAACCCATGTCAAGGCATTATTTTCCTCGGAATGAAAACGTAAATGCAAGACAACGCAGAAAGCAAACAACAGAGCGGGACACACTCGTAACGTTCAGGAAATTTGACCAGCCCAACAAACTTGTGATTGAAAAGTGACCTACTCTATTTGGGGAGATTAACGTTACATTAACCCTGTACCTGGTACCTATCTAAAGCTGGATCGACCTGGAAGTCAAGGTCACTTTTGATTTTAAAAAGTGCGACTCCTTAAGGACATGAACCCATGATCCTGCGATGCACAGATGAGTGGCACGGCAGCTTCCAATTTTTCCTACAGCACGATATAATATTGTGGTCTGGAAAGACTTTGTTACTTCTAGGCAACAATTGACAGTTGAGAGGTCTTATATACTTGTGTTAACAGAATGGAGAACAGAAAGGTTGGCTATGTGGTTCTTCTATTTCTTCTTTGCTCTGACTGATTGTAAACTTCGGCAGAAAGTTCTAATTGTTCGTCCACGCCACTTCCCGATGGGGCCCTCCAACCCACAAAGGAACTAATTGGTGAGAAGTGTTTCCGAAACTGGGCGCTACTGCCCCTTGGTATTTCCTCATTGTTGCCGACTCCTTTGCCTCAACGTCTCTGGAACACATGGCTTTCTGTGTGACGGCCGTGTCCATATTTCTTCTTCCAATGCAGACAGAGCCGTTCTGTCGGCTTTTTCCACCCCCACCCCTTTCCCCTAACCACCTTCCTTTTTCCCCACTGTGTCCTGGCGTGTACAGCTAAGAAAAGGTATGTATACTGTCAGCCTATTATATCGGGAGTTTGCCAGTTCAGATCTTAGTGAGCACGCGCTTACGGAGACTGTCACTTCTGATGCCTGAGCTTTCTGTTCCCCCAGACATGCAAGTGCCAATGTGACAGCTTCTATCTTCAACGTCATACTAGAAGTTGTTGAACTGAATTCATGACTTTATTCTTTCACTAATACCGATTCTTTTGCACTGTGTATGCCCACAACACGAGTCAACGATCCATGTGTATAGATGTTGATGTCACCTGGTCGAGTGTGCCCATGTATGAGGACCTATATTTAATCATCAGGTGCTATTTGGTTCTATTACCTGCACCATCTGTAGAAAGATACAATCGTCATGGGAGGGAGAGAGAGAGAAGAGATAAGTGGGACACCATAAAAAGAGACAGAAAAAGGGAAAGCGAAAGAGAGAAAGAGCGACCTAGGCGATAACGTAATAGATACACCACATTTGAAAGATGCAGAAAGAAAGTGAATGAGTGACTGAGAAATCAATTAGGTGTGTGTCCTTTACAGGACGTTGCAGAAGTAACCCCAGTATTTTTTAACTCTTGTGGTTTTTTTTTTTTTTAAACCGTCAGTTGTTTAGAATTTTTATTTTATTTTAAGAAATAGGACAAATGAAAAATCCAAGGAGAACTTGATGAAATGGAGAGTTGAATTACCTGACAATTGCATAATACATAATACTTCAAATAGATACTCTGCAATTACAATGGATACCATAGATTGTAAATGCTATCGACTTGTTCACGTGACGAGATGGAGCGAAATAATTTCATACCAGAAATGGTGCTATCTAATGTGTGTGTCTTCTTTGTTCAAATTACACTATCTTTCTGATGTTTTCAAGCCCTGCTGTGCAATGGATTAAAAAACAAAAACAAAAAATCAAACAAGATGAAGCAAATAAAACATTCTTTGAACTGAAATACACAAACCCACCACACTCAAATGTAACTCAAATTTAACCAAGGTAATTTGTGCAATATTTCTTTTGCATTGTCTATATTAAGATTTACCAGAGGCATACATAGCTTTATTTGTGTTGTCCCATTATTATTATTTTTTTTTTTTTTTTAACATTAAATCGGTTTTGTGCAAAACATTCTTTGCAATTTGTTTGTCTCTGGAAATTTGTTAAGCCATCCAGACACATGTCACATTTATGCACTTTTATAATGAGCTTTATAATAGCCGTTAATGTTTCACTGAGGGGAGGCGAGTGTCACTGAAGAGAAATGTCAAACAGTGGTGACATGCAAATGAATGTCTATTAACTGCATGGTATTTCAACCGAAGATAATTATTTTATTTTTTACGCAACACAAATCCCCTTGTATATTGCTATAAAGTAATATTTGAGTCAGACGTTATGACTTGTATTAGCTGGTTTACTTCCATTCATGTTGTGATGTTTGTTTCATTAATTCCGGTGGATTCCGACTATCACATCACACATCATAGAGTTGTTTCGCCGGAGTATATATACTAAAACAGTTTTCTCAGTAATAATGGTAATGTGTTTGAGTGTGCTGTTTAAAATGCATATATTTTATTTTCTTCTTTACAGTAGAATGCTTACAATACTGTAGACGGCCAAAAAGTGCAACCAAAAGGTTTTGAAAAAAGCAGGAGCCCGAAGACAACTAATCACAGACATCAGAAGTAGACAGTCATCATTTGTCGGCCATGTTATGAAAAGAGGGAAAATGGAACATGTTGTGACCACTGCAAAGATCTGTGGAAGACGAGATAGAGAAAGACAACGAGAGAAGATTCTCAACAGTCTTGTTGCATGGCATGGACGTATATCAGCACACGAACTGATACATGCTGTATGAGAGATCGCGGATTGTAGAGAGGCATGATCTCCCAAGCCACTCGGCAAGGCACCTGATGATGATATTTTAACCTTTTTGACAATACTGATCTAGTGCACTGAATCCCAGTTAGGATAAAGATCTGCTATCATATTTGCGTGTTTCCTCCGAAGTCGGAGTACATCTGCCGGAGAGGCGGGGAACGAGTACTGCAAACAAATAAGCCAGTAAAACGGATGTACACGCAAAACTCAGGTCAAGGTAAAAGCCAAAAGTCCATTTTGGACGAACAACCGCGACTTACCGCCGGAATTCACAGCCGGTGAACAAGAAGAAGAAGAAGAAGAATATTTGCGTGTAATCGTTTACCAATAGAAGTGTAAAATGTAATCGTTTATAAAACTGTTTATAAATATATCTCATTTTGTGTTGATTTTAACGTTAATATTAGAAGGCAAGGAAATTACTGTGAAAATATAAATTCTTCAAGTTCTTGTATGTGCGAAAGCTTTAAACCAATGGTTCCCGTTGTGGGTTTCCGGATCAAATTTAAGCGGCCTGCGACACAGCAAAAATAAAAACTTTCCCTCCTTTTTAGTATGAATGTTTCGTTATTTGAAGCCATAATCTGGCTCTTGCCAGGGGCCGCAATATAGTCTGGCCATAAATATGACCTAAAGGCTGAACACAGTTTCTGTGACCTCTCCACGGTTATCCTCACCCGCATGGTGGCACATTGTGTCACCGGGTGTTTATCACTCGTGTGATGTCCTGGTGGGGTAGAAAGTCAGTCAGTTATGCAGAAACATAAAACATAAAAATTAAAAAAAATATACCGCAGCTCTCTTGCTTTTGTGATTCTAACACACACACACACTCACACACACACACACACACACACACACAGATATATATATCTTATATATATAAGCTTCTCCGCAGAGATTGATCGAGTCATATATGATAAACCTCTGAGCAGTGAACTTCCTAAATTTAACGCTTCTTCGTCTTTTTGTGTTGTCTTAATGATACCACTTGTAGCCGTGGTTGTTAAACTTTATTTTGTTTTTGAGAATGATTTACGAGATGATTATGTGAAATTTTCAGCCATATCGTTTTAGTAAGGTTAAATACACACACACACACACACACACACACACACACACACACACACACACTCAGATATATATATATACACACACAGTAAAGGAGCCTTTTCCACTTCTTTCTGGTGTATTGAGTACACAGGGCTAGACCTATATTTTATAGACCAATCAGCACAAGATGGGTGATACGGTCAGCATCACGCCGGCCGCCTTTACTTCCTAAGACTGCACATGGAACCCACTCAAGACTGGGTCGACCTGGAAGACAAGGTAATTTTTGAAATAAAGTCCGGCTCTCGTCAGGAACCGAACCTACCACCTTCTGATCCTCAGGCTTCTAGCCGCTAGACTACAGCGACTATATATATGCACACACATAGAGACACACACCCAAACATACACATGTATACTCTTTTTTTCATTTCTAAATACGAATATTAAAACAAAAACTATGGGATCCGTAGCAGTTCTTGGGGGGAAAAAAAGAATGGGTCCACTTGTCTTATATAATTGGAAAATACTGACCTAGCGATTGTTTAAGTAACTCGTTCTAGAGAGTCTTTCTCGCGTCTTGGATAAATGATGCTAGACCCAGAGATCTTCATAGACCATCCAGGACTTGTCAGTTCCCCCTGACATGCAAGTGCCAATATGACAGCTTCTTCAACGTCACACTACTTACTATGACTTTAGTTGATGCTCGTTTTAAGCTTAGCTGAAATTTTAGGTCAGGTCACTTCTGAAGCGAAAATATATCTGACCAAATGCGGATTTGAACCCAAGACCTTTGGATGTCATGCGGTCGCCGGTGAATTTCCCTCCGGGCCGATTCGTAATTTGACCTTCGGTGCTGGAGAGCCTAGCATGATATACCACAACATCCAGCTTAAGAATGGAGCTGAAGGCGGTCACTGCAGCTTTCCGCTGGCTAGAGAACACGACACACACACACACACACACACACACACACACACACATCGTGATTGTAACTGACTCAGAAAGCATGCTGAGGAAGATCAGGACAGGCATGCTTCGTGCAGAGTAGCATGCTTCACTGTGGAGGAAACACGTGAGGTGTATTGTCTGGATTTTGTCCCCGGGCCACGCCGGTGTGTTGGAAAATAAACAGGCGGCAGACTGGCTGGCTCTGCACAGCTTGATGGAATTCTGATACGTGACGGGGCAGACGTGGTTAGTGCCTTGCGGGAGAGCGTGTACAGTTCGGAGGAGCAGATGGATTACCACAGTCTGGTGAGACTGATACAGGGGGAAGTGACAAGAGATTCTGGCAGATGCTGGAGGCTCAGAGGAAAGGCCCGACGGACGTTTAATCTGAATGCTACTGGCACCGTTAGTATCTGAACTCTTCGATGGCTGCTGAAGATGGGGACGAAGCGCTTAAGGGAATGCCCCGAGTGCTGTGATGTCAGTTCTTGAATCAAATCAAATCAAATCCCAGTTTGGCACACGCTGTGAAAATCAATTGGACTGTGAGTGAATATATGACGGAGCATTAACAGAAACGCCTAATACCTGGAATAGAAGTTATATAGGCCAAACCGTTATTTTATAACCTGTCAATATTGTTGTTAAGGATGTCAAAAGAGTGAAGCATGTGACATAATCGTGCATACGAACATGGTAACGCCTTAATTTACATTTTTAGGACGTCTGCCTCACTTTTGACATGCACTATAGTGAAGAAGACATGCTGTTACCCAGTTTTCATTTTTTTTTTTTTTTTAATACAATAATTTTAACGTACCCGATGACATTACGATGACGTCACGGGAGACATTCAAATAATGTCCAGGGGGGTAAGGTTGGGGAATTTTTCCCTTCTAGAGTGCATCGCAAAAGCGCGTGCTTGTTGGCGCCTCCAATGACGTGTGTTTACCGCGCGTCAGCAGTCTTCATCTTTGCCCCATCTGGTTGCTACAATCAGTAGCATCTGTATGAGGCAAGCAGACCTGCATTGCCTTCCTGTAACATCATTGTATTCTGCACAGAACGAGACGTTGCAGAAACGACAATCAAATAGATGGTGTATTATCGCTGTCATAAAGACACACGACCGTTTTCCGGTGTCAAAAGTCCACCTGTCGTCTGGACATACCAGTGCGGAAAATTGCAAACCTCTTTCCGGCGATAATATCGTCAAGAGTATCCCACGCAGCATCCTACCGCATCTCCTGCAGCTTTCATCTTTTTATTTGCTCGTGAGTCCCAGCCATCTAGTTGAGCTTCCTCCGCGCCGCGCGTAGCAGTGCGGGGGATTCACTCGGCGGTCGCGGTAAAGTGTCCAGAAAGAGGTCTGCAATTTACTTGTGACTAAGGACCTGGCAGGGTATATTTGCGGCCTCGATGATTAGGAGAATATTCGTTTTTCGCAGGATAGCCTAAAAAAAAAGAACAATTTACATTTGATATCACCTACGCTACACAATCACATGTCAAAATAATATAAAAAACATGACCAGTACTGTACAATGAAAATTGCGCATCAACAAGCAGCCGACTGCGCACCAACATACAGATATATGCCACACCAAAATACACTTGAAGAGAAACGACAGCATCAGCACACTTGCACCCCTTGAAATAGTGGACTGTCAAGTCAGCTGTGGAATTCCCACGGGTCCCCGTGTTTGGGGTCCGTCGAAGTGGGAGCGAGAGGCCTCGTTTCCACTTCGCTCTACAATGTGGTTAAAGAATTAGGATTGCGCGGTAATGAACGGAAACGAACACTTAAAAAACTGGGAGAGGCAGCCGAAAGGGCCTCTAGCTGGCTGTGGACGCAGCGCAACAACGTAGGGGACGGGCCTCGGTGAGCTGGTCCGGGTATCTAGTGGAAAAGAGTTTCTTATCCCTTTGAAAGTCCATCGTGTACGAATTGTCTGCCAGTGTTCCTCTGCCAACTGCTAATAAAAGTTCAACATGTGTCCGGTAAACCAAAGTAAGCTTGTCGCTCGGTCGTCCAGGCACGCTGACTGTTCTAATTAAGCTGCCGCGGCGGCTTCTTATCTCACAGTACCTCCTTCGAAACCACTAAGTCGTCTTGTCTCTGGCCGAAATAATAACACCATCTGGTAATCTGTGCAGCGGGGAAGCAGCCCTGAGCTTCATGAACTCAGGTGGGCCCACCTCCGAATACGTTTAGGAATCGTGGGCCGAAACGTGTGTCGAAAGAGGATAATTTCTACTGATGACTGTAGATCCCCGCTGTACTTGCTCCATGTGAGTTTATTCTT